CTGAACATAGTAAACGTTGGAATTACTCATTTCAATCTCGCAGAGATTTTACACAAATATAATTTTTTTTACAAATGTCTACTTCTCACTCGGTGCCCAATTATATTTTAGAAGTATTCTGTCGTCAAATCTTGACGCGACAGTGTTCATATGAAGTGTTTTTGTTCGAATGGGATATAGGGCTTCAAAGTTTTGAGGTTTCGGTAGTGGTGGTGTGTTTTCTTTTTTTTACGCGAGACGTTTGCTAGCCTCACGCTCAACCTTCTCCCCTTTTTCCTGACATACTGTCTATCATCTGGTAAATTAGGTGAGATTTAAGCGTGAAGTGGGTCAAGAGTCGAACTCAAGACCATGTTCGTGGTTGGCGTGTATTCTACCACTGACACACACACACACTGTACTGCTCAGCAGTCCGCTCCGTCCTCCTTTATGGCTGTGAGACCTGGCCATTGAGAGTGGAAGACATGAAAAGGCTTAGCTGTCTTTGATCATAGGTGTCTGCATTCTATCTCCCGTGTGAAGTGGTATAATAGGGTGAGCAATATTGAGGTTAGGCGTCGAGTGCTAGGTAAGGCGGGGAAATCAGTCGACGAGGCTGTGAAATTCCATCGACTGAGATGGTTAGGACATGTGTTATTTACGCCTAGCCATCGCCTTCCTCGACTGACAGGCAATGTTAGCTGACATAGGGTCAGGCTGGAAAAGAGCTAGCGGCGGTCAAACCAAAACATGGCATCAGTCAATGAAATCTACAACAGTTAGTTTAAGCCACGTAGGAAGGTGTAGACTGGCTTCCTGGTTGGGTGGACAGTAAAAACCAATGGTTGGAAACAATTGGTGACATGGCTCAAAATCGTTCTCAATAGCTAGCGCAGATGCATCCACTCCTTGTGACTTATGATTTCCAATGAAACTGTTTTGTTCTTCGTTATTACTATTCCTTTGTCTCACACCTCTGTTTACTGTCTATATTATGCATTTCTTCTACTTTCTTCTCTTGCTTTGTGGGCTACATGGAGTGTGGCGACTTGAACTGCTGCACATCGGTGCAAAGTTCTATGTCGAAAACAGACAAACAGACTTAAACTGATAAATTATTTCAAAATTATTTATTTGGACCATTTCTGTTTAAATATAACTCAATTGGAACAGAAAACTACTTAATTTTGTGTCAAAAATAACTTCTTTAATCATTTGTTTTCTTGCCGACTTAAGTCTTTTTGTGACCATGTGGTTCTCGAGTGCTGATAGATAGATCGATCGATCACCTTGTGCGCAAGAATGTTATACCATGTGATGATATTACCTTAACAAAACTTAATATGAGAGTGACCGACTGCCTTTTTTTTGTTATGACCGTCTCCAGAACTCAGTATAACTGACTAACAGGCTACCGGATGACATTTTGTCGTATTCTACGTAGTAATTATTAACCTGTCTATTCATTTTACGTGCCCATTGTAAATCGTGTGTATAGACACATTGCTTGCCGCACTCAGGTTGGGTTGTGTTTTACCAACTTACGTCACCCATGGGATTGTTAGTTTGTTGAATTTCTTCACGAGGCAACATCATTTAGGGAGAACATTGTAAATCAGGAAGCACTGCGTAGTTGTTTCGTCTCATTTTGGGACTCTTCTGAAGTGTGCAACCTCGACCTCACCAGGGATTGAATCAGGGACCTTCAGATTATGACACAAACCTCGAAATTCAGCGATTCAAATCCCTGAAAGTCCTATAATCTCTCAGTCTTCAGATCATTGATAACTACTACTGGATGGATGTCTCGAAGCTGAGAAGTCATTACCAGTGGGTCCCACCATGTCAAGGTGAAGTGGATCCTCATCGTTGGTATCAGTGAGGAAGTGTAACGCTATACCACGAGTTGACAAAGTTATAATTCGTGGGTGATTGAATTCTGAACGAAGTGGCTGAATGGTAATGAGCTTGGTCTGTCGTAACCTGAAGGTCCTGGACTCGATCTCTGGTGGGTTCAGGGGTGCGCACTGATGAAGAGTTCCAATATAGGACGAAACGTATGCACAGTGCTCTCTAACTGAGTGACTGACTGGTCTCAACGTAGTACTTCGCATAGATGTGCACCAGTTCCAGTTGCCAGACTCTATGTATCACACAAAGCAAGAGAAGAAAGTAAAGAGAGATAATAAACAGAAGTGTGAGTGAGGCAAATAGAAAAGTAATATGGAAGAACAACAGAGTTTTGTTGGATATGAAAAATTTTTTAAGGGGTGAATACATCTGCACCAGTCATTGAAAACTATTTTGAGCCATATCACCAACTGTTGTGGTGAGAGCTGGCTGCTAGCCAAAGTTGGTAGACAGTAATTGACGTCAATGTTTATGTCCCAAATATTGGTGGTGAGAAAATGAGAACAAAGGCTTTGCGTAGGCGGATACAGTTAGCATATGGATGATCTGACACAGCCACAAAGAGATGCAAGGTTAACTTTCTGTGAGAAACAACCAATCAAAAGACTGTATTTTCTACTAACAATAATCTACAATAATGTACATTAAAATCTAAAAATATGTGTTGATTTTCCTTAATAAACGATCTGTTGCCTGGCCCTTGTCTTCTGCTGTTACACTGTCTCTTGCCTTCATTGGTTTTTACCATCTCAAGGACCCTCTAACTGATGTTAATTCATGACCAAAATCTAACAATCGAAATTAAACTTAATTATTTATTAAGACGGAAGAATAAGAAGTCATTTAACAGACTTTTGAATATTTAGTGAATTACATTAGAATAGAATTCACTTGAAAGGAAGCTAAAGGTATGTATGTAGGAAGGTAGGTCAAATCATAGTACCTGTCTCTTTAGTGTCGAACTATTGAACTCAGCAGGTCTATGAAGGAAGGAATTTAAAGCTCAAGGAGAGAAACTGGAATTAACGCCACTGGTTACTTTTCGGCAGTTAACCACTTTGTTTCTCGTCTTCAAACTCAAACGAATACATAATATTAGTGTAGATAACTATATTCGTAATATGGCCAAAAATTGTTCTCAATTGCACGCAGATGCATCCACCCTCTGTTATCTCCCAAATGTATTACATCCTCATGTTTTATAATAATAATAATTTGCTTTATTCCAAAACAGTACTTGTGATACAGAATAGAATTCTCAGCATTTTTACTACAGTATTGCATCCAGTTAGTACATTATCAATAAATAGAATTCTACATAGATTAAGGAAATCTCAGATCATTATAACAACAACATATTGGAATGTCGGTAGTAAAGCCAAAGTGGAACAGTGTTTCAAGCTGTTAGAAAAGTAGATGCTATCATATTTACTGGCGTAAGCGAGAGAAAGAAACAAAGCACCACATAACGGAAAAAGGAAAAGAGAGAGAGAGAAAAGAAAGAAAGAAAGCGTTGTACCTATAAATGATATGAGTTGGAAAGACGAGGTCCAGTTGTTCTACTGACTATTTGATGAATTATAGGTGTCACGCCTAATGCTTTCTTTATCACACAGAACACGAGCTAAGTAGGGTATGGTTGAGTTTTTGTACTTACCTGCTGGTGCGAGCATATAGTTTTCTATATAGGCTTCTCGTCTCCTGCCTGATGAGATGCAAGGGGAGGAGTTGTGAGTGAAGAGGGTGGTGTGAGTTAGATAAAATGGATTTGGCCCATTTTTCACATGGATCCATGTGCCTGTCAACCAGAATATTAACAAGCTGGTTAAGTGGCACGTTGCTTACCCTGCTGACAACCTTTAACATCCTGCGTAATATGGTGTAGTCTTTCTTCAGTAGCCCGGGAAAAACTAAGGGGGAACAATAGAGAATAATAGGCAGAATGCGAGAGTTAACGAATTGTAGGAGTAAGAGTTGGGTTATACCAGAATATCCTAACTTCTTAATGTAGAAGGTAAGACGGAATATTTTCTTAGAAATCGCCAAGATATCAGACGATCAGGAGAGATCAGCAGATAGAATGACGCCTAGGTATTTAATTCCCGACTTGGTTTCTATTTCAGTGCCATCTATGTTGCACACCTCGTGAGAGCCAACCAGTTTGTTTAGGTCGGATTTATGCCTAAAGGTGGAATTGACTGTTTGGCATTTGGAGGGGTTTAAGGTAAAACCATTTACCTTATCCCTTGTTACTGTTCTTTCTCTTTCGCATTTTTCTGTTCATTTGTGTATTTCTTTTGAATCCTACTACTCTGTCTTTGTGTGGTGTATTATGAAGTGAAGTAATTTAGACTGTTTGACTTCTGTTCAAAGTTCTACATTGAAACTCAATCAGTCAAATAACTTGATATTCTTAAGGATACTAAACGAAATGAAGTTTTGACTGGTTGGAAGATTTCATCATGAGCTGACATCAGTTAGGGAACCATTAGAAAACCTGCCAGAGAGTACTGCCAGACAGCTGGCTGTTTCGTCAGTCTAGTTTGGGACTCTTCAGCAGTACGCATCCACCGCCAGAATTCGAACCCAAGACCTTCTGGTTACAAGGCGAGCTAGCTCGTACACCATTAAACCACTAGGACCCGATCCAATGGCCAATGCGTGAATTCTAACTTCTGCCAATTCATGATTTGGCGCGACCACTTCGCAGTGTTTTCTTCAATGAGTTACTGCTTCACCCTCAACCTGTTGTACCGTACTGGTCACGGCTTCTCACTAGAACTCTAGGTCACTACTCGTTGCTAGTGAGCATCAGATTAATTTTCATGTACTGGTTATGTAGGGATTTTGTTTGATTGGATGGAGGATTTCATCATGAGCTGACATCAGTTAGAACCCCGGTGGGTGTGTACTGATGAAGAGTCCCAAACTAGACTGACGAAACAGATGTCCAGTACTCCCTGGCAGGTTTTCCAATGGTTCTCTAACTGATGTCAGCTCATGATGAAATCCTCCAACCAATAAAACAGAATCCCAACAAAACCAATACTTGAAATGAAATTTTATTTTATTATTTGTTGTGTTTTTTTTCATTTTACACTTTTTTTTAGTAATTTGTTCAAAAGTTGATTCTACGCATTTAGTTCAATTAAAAGAGTTACGTTCAACATGTTCAATTCTTTTTGCTTGTTTACGTCAATTTTGGTCAAATCAATACGGTGGTCGTACACACGATCCAACCTTTCTTAAACATGTATCTAACTGGTTAATTTTAACTGTAAGTTAATTTCATTGCCTGTATACAATCAAGTATGAGCTAGCACTGATTTTTACCAGGTCATTATTCCTAGGTGTTGGTTTTTTCCTTTTCTCCTTTTTCTCACTCCTTCGACTTCCGAATGGAAGAAATGGCTTCTAGCTTTAGGCTTTGAAGTTTCGTCAATAGCATTTCTGATGTTTTCACGGGGTGGAGTAGTTGCAAACCTCATATTCAACTTTCCCTCCTTACCGGGCTCATCATTGGCTAGACATTGTTGAAGAATGCTTCAGCTGGCGGTCGAACCCAGACTACGTGCGTGACTGGTGGGTATTCTACCATTGGACTAACCGACGCCTGGTGTGTAAATCTGTGGAACTGACAAATATTTAATGCTTACATACACTCTGTATTGTTAAGATTAGCACGTTTACGACACACTAGAAGAGGAGTAGTGTAACAACAAAAGACAAAGGTTAGGCAACAGATTGTTTATTGAGAAAATCAAGAGATATTTATAGGTTTTTATGTACATTATCGTCAGCGGAGAAGAAATGTCTTCTGATTGGTTGTTTTCTCGCTGAAGGTTATTCTGTACTGCTTGTGACCGTTTTCCCATAAAGTTAAGCCATACATCTGCGAATCATATTTGCACACGTTAAGTCTGCTGTGATTGGTTGGTGAGTTTCTCAAGGTTAAGCTTTGTTATTGTTTGTTTTTCTGATGACCCCGATTCGGGACGTAACATTGACGTAAATTGTTGTCTACAGTTTTGGCTTGTTCTCAGCCAGCTCTCACCACAGTAGGAGTGTTACTGAACAACAGTTTGCGTTTCCATGGTGTTAGAATTGAGACACACCTATTGTGTGTGTGAACTAATGACACTATACTATCTGACTGTCCATACCTTGAATAGATGGAGTCGGGTTGACGCCATTGGTTTCCTATCGAGCATATGAACGATGTGGAGTTGTGGTTTATTGATTTAAGGACTCAACTTTCATTCAGTAGATCCCGTATTTGAATCCCATTCGACCTACTTCAACCAGAGAAGCTGGATAGTATTGTAAGTGTTAGACTAGACTTAAGGTAGACCGCAAACTAACGACATTTGCAAAAACTTCACCACCTATAACCTTAGCAGTACTCTACCTAACGTGTAAGTACTGACGAGCGGAATCAAAGTAAAAAGACTTGAGATAAAAGTGTGTCTGAGACGGAGTTGTATTTTTGCACAAATGAAATATCAAATTAATTAAATAAAGACGTTATACAACTTATCTGCTGTCTTGACTGGTTGGTGGTAGGCTCGAAGAGTGCGCTGAATAAAGAAAGCACAACGAGAGAGCGAATCTAGTATGTACAGGAGAGTCACAAATCAAAAGATGAAGAAGTGCCTAAAGTGGGTGACTGCGTTTCAACAAAAAGTTTAAAGGTTCCGTGTACACTACAGTATCATCATTCCTTATACAGTGATTGTATCTTATATATTGGTACGTATAGGACTTTTTCCGGGTAACTGAGTTCCGAAAATTTATTACTATTAACATTAAAAAATCACTGCTGTATGAGTGAACAGCAACAACAACCACTACCGATCACCATCAACGGGAGAGATTTAACAGAGGTTACTTCCTTCACTTATCTAGGAAGCATCGTTTCTACTACAGGCGATGGCACGAATGAAGATGTCAAAGTTAACCAGGCAGAATCGGAAAGGCAAGGTACACGCCTTCATCAACCTGAAACCAATTTGGAAATCTTCTGCACTCACTCAATCAGCATAAGGAACAAGATTTGGATTTACAATACCAACGTCAAGTCGGTCCTTCTATACGGGTCAGAAACTTGCACTGCGCGTGTTTCACGAAAAGGATTTCCAACAGGCTACTGCAGACTTTTTTCAACAGCTGACACATTCGCTGGCTGGATCCATATTGAAGATCAATTGGTTAGTCAACCAGCCATTCAGAAAGAATTAGCAACAAAAAAACTCTGACTGGGAACAAACCAACAGACGAGAGCCGATCGCTCAACATATATGTAGGAGAAAATGGAAATGGATCGCGCGTATATTCTGAGAAAGGAGGCTGTCGAATGACATCGCGTTCAGTGCAGGCCATCACTCGAGTGGAATCCGGAAAGGAAGCGATGGGTGGTTCGTCGGTGCGAGGGTGACATGGAAGAGATCATGTGGTGAGGAGGAGATGAGAGATTTTGAGCAATAGTGGACCCAGCTGAATAGGCAGCGGGAAGCGGAACAAAGTGGAGGTGTGGTGTTGAAGCCTTATGTTCCACTCGGAACCCAAGGGAATAATATATATATATATATATATGTATAACATAATACCGTACTCCGTTCTCTACTGTACGTCTACTGTTGTAGGTAAAAAAAAACGTGAGTGGACACAAGTGTTCAATAGCAAACGTCTTTGTAGCATAAGATATCGGTTTGTGTATAGCCGAATTAAGAAGACGAATAATACGGTTAATTTCCCCTGATTACTGCTTTGTCAGAAATCAGTTGTGCTACATTGCTAGGGACAGTTAAAATATGATTATAGTGATACAAATACTTTGTTAACCCCCAGTATATGCTCTTCTCAACCCTATTCTTTTTTAGATTGCCCTAGCGGGGTTCTAGTGCGAAGTCGTGACCAGTAGGGTGCAGCAGGTCGGGTGTGAGGACCAATACTCGCCAAAGACATTGGCTAGGGGCTGTCATGAATTGGCACAAGTTAGAATTCATGGGCCATTGGATCGGGTCCCAGTGGCTTATTGGTCTACGAGCTCGCCTTGTAAACTAGAAGGTCCTGGGTTCGAATCCCGATGGGTGCGTACTGATGAAGAGCCCCGAACTAGGACAAAACGGCTGGCTAGTACTCCCAGGTTTTCCAATGGTTCTCTAACTAATGTCAGCTCATGATGAAAATCCTGTAACCAATCAAATCCCTACAAACCAACACTTTAAAAACATTTTTGTCTGACCAGCACTTTCAAAACGGAAGTATCTAGAAATGTCTTCTACTTTAAATATTATTGAAAGTCAATGGTAAACGACTATCTTGATCGCCTTCACAAACACCCTTGTACGGCTGATATTGAGAAGACTTCAGTTTTCCTCACGAAATAGCCTGTGTCAGATAGGTCCTATTCTCACTCCTTTCAAGCAGCGGGATGGGTGTGGGGTTCCTTACAAAAGTGAAAGTGTCAAAATGAACCTGCGGTGCTTACAACTGAGCTGGTGGACATACTGTGGTGTGAGAGCTGTCTGCTAGCCAACATTAGTAGACAGCAATTTACACGTCAATGTTTACTTCCCAAATCTTGGTCATAAGAACAAAAATAAGAACAAAGACTAACCTTGAGGAACTCAACAGCCAATCACAGTAGACTTAGCGTGGGCGGATACAATTCGCAAATAAATATGGTCTGACCATCAAAGAAACGGCCACAAAGAGATGAAAAAAATAACTTTCAGAGAGAAAACAACCAATCAGAAGACGCTGCTGTTTCTCTACTAATAATAACGAATAATAATGTACATAAAAGTCTATAAATATCTCTTGTTTTCCTCAATAAACGATCTGTGTTGCCTGGTCCTTGTCTTCTGTCGTTACAAAAGCTAGTCTATCTAGGGGAGTTGGAACACTATGATTTCAAACTCACGATGTACATAGCCTATGGGATCCAAATGGATTAAATGGCGTATAAATATATGGGAAGGCTTCGTCCACTACTTGCTTGGGAGGTGACCCTTTGAAACAACCACTTGCTTAGGTCAGTTCATCTGAACAGTATCCCAGCCCTTTCACAAATAATGAGATTTTGTGTATGGTGCATCTTTTGGTTCTCATAATGCACTCTACTCGTACTCATGCAGCCGGGTGAGGGCTTATGGCGAGTTGTCATCTGAAGTGGTGATGACTACTGGTGTCCGTCAAGGATGCCCATTATCCCCATTCCTATTCAATTTCATCATAGACGTACTAATGGACTTAACCCTAACTCACTTCAGAGACTCAGGGATTAACTTGCTACCAGGGAATAATCTCCTTGACTTAGAATATGCGGACGATATAGTCCTTCTAGGCGAGGACGCTGACAAAATGCAGAGTTTACTGAACACCTTGAGCAACAATCTTCGTATGTTTGGCATGCGATTCGCCCCTGTAAAATGTAAGATGATGCTGCAGGATTGGACTTCACCGACCTCTAGATTAGAAATAGGAAGTGAAGTGGTAGAGCACGTTGGCCGCTTCACTTATTTGGGAAGTACCATCAGCCCCAACGGGTTGATCTCTGACGAATTCTCAGCACGGATACAGAGGGCTAGTTTCGCATATGCCAGTTTACGCCGTCTCTGGGGTAGACGTGATATCCGACTATCGACCAAAGGGCGTGTGTACTGCTCATCAGTCCGCTCTGTCCTTCCTTATGGCTGTGAGACCTGGCCATTAGAAGTGGAAGACATGAAAAGATTAGCTGTCTTTGATCATAGGTGTCTGCGTTCTATCTCCCACGTGAAGTGGTATAATAAGGTGGGCAATATTGAGGTTAGGCTTCGTCGAGTGCTAGATAAGGCGGGGAAATCAGTCGACGAGACTGTGAGATTACATCGACTGAGATGGTTAGAACATGTGTTACGTATGCCTAGTCATCGCCTTCCTCGACGGTCAATGTTAGCTGATATAGGGCCTGACTGGAAAAGAGCTAGCGGCGGTCAAACCAAAACATGACATCAGTCAATGAAATCTACAACAGTTAGTTTAAGCTAGCCACGTAGGAAGGTGTAGACTACCTGACTGGTTGGGGTCCTCGGGACGGTAAACAACAATGGTGGGAAACAATTGGTGACATGGCTCAAAATCGTTCTCAGTGGCGCAGATGCATCCACTCCTTGTGACTTATGATTTCCGTTATTACTATTCCTTTGTCTCACACCTCTGTTTACTGACTATATTATGCATTTCTTCTACTTTCTCCTCTTGCTTTGTGTGCTACAATTAAGGAGTGTGGCGACTTGAACTGCCGCACATATGTGCAGAGTTCTATGTCGAAAACCGACCGACCGTTTTAATAATCATAAACAAATAAAATCTTAAATCAGCTTATCTCAGTTGTCTTTTTATGACTGTGTTACGATAATTGTTCACTTTGTCATTGTATTCCATTAGATGCTTTTACTCAATGTATCCATCTATCTATCTATTTGTCTTCAATGTTTGTTTTGTGTAATCTATATATAGGCGGGTGTAACTGTTCGTGCATGTAGACCAGAGGATCATATATTCATCCTGATGCAATTGTTACGTTTACCCTCATCATTGATCAAATTGTTTGTCTGTTTATTACAACCACCAGATCCAACGATTGCATGGGAAAGAACAAAAAATCTCGTTGAATTTCTCTATCAACCAGAAGTTGAGCTGATATTAACTCTATTTGCGATATGTTTACGACCAGTACGGTAAGCTGCATATTAAGTAGCTTAAAAATCCCCATTGAGTCGTATGAAAAAGAGAAGAACGTTCAGTGAAGAGACTCTTTTCGACGGCGAATCCATTCACATAACTGTACAATCGCATTTATATACAATGTTTACTTTGATTGGACACTAGTCAGTAACTAGTGTGACGTGTCTGGCTAGTCCTTTCTTCGTTGTAGACTGAATTCTGTCAGTCAGGTTTGCAATGTGGCCAACATTCCAGGTAGCTTGCCATCACAGTGCACATTGATTTAATGATATTAGATAGTTGGAGGTAATCGGCCACAGGAAGCCTTGCTTGACCTAGGTTTGGTGCTAGTTGGCACTCACCAGTCAGGCAAGGCGTATCTGCAACCTTGAAGGAACTCATGTCCCTTCTGAGATTCGAACCCGCGTCACCCAGTGCAGTAGATACGTCTAACTCCACTGTTGGTTGGGAACAGTGATTAACCCGGCCGGCAACTGCTACCTTGTCGTGGTGATCGGACTTGAATACTGCGATGACCCAACAAGCTACACTAGCTGGGATTTATGTTCCTGCAAGTTCTACTATGCCAGGAAGATTGTTTGTATAGCGATTCGACTAAAATCAGTTAATATGGGGCACATGGGCTCCAGAATCCAATCGGACCGAATTGCGTATGAACCTGTATTGGTCACCGACATCCATGGGAACGCATCTCCTGACGCTTCTACGCTGCTTTGCAAATTAGACAACAAGTCAAAGGCTCGAGGAGGCCTCCCTTAAGACAACCACCTGTTTCGGTCTGGTCGCCCGTGCAATATCTCAGCCCTGACATAATCAATGAAATGAAACAATGAACTATCAGTGAAACTCATTGCACTCTCTTTGCAATGCTCTTGAACATTAATAATGTTTCAAGTGACGCATTTCTTTCCAGCTTCAGTTAGAGGTGGCATGCTCGCGTTTTATATTAATGGTCCTGGGTTTTTTTATCTTCAACGGAGTCGTGGGTGCTGACTTTTTAGCCTTCGATAGTTCGCCACTTCATGTTAGGTCACAGACTGAAATCAGTCAGGGAACCATTGAAATCCACATTGGAGTACTGAACGGCCGTAACATCCTACTTTGGGAGTGTTTTTGAAGTACAGACCCACGATATCACACCGAGGACTGAACTCATGGCTTTCAGATTCTAAGGTGAGCTGGTCGATCATTCAGCTGCTAAGATGGAATCCAGTGATCCATAAATTCTAACTTCTGTGATAATAATAATAATAATAATAATTTACTTTATTCCAAAAAACAGTACTTGTGATACAGAATGGAATTTTCAGCATTAATCACAATATTGCATCTAATTTCCTCAAATTATAAATAAAAATTAGTCACACATAAAATTTTCCACATTTACAGTAGGGGTAATGTCAAAAACATGCAGCATATAAAATGGAAATAATAGTAATGATAACAGCTAAGGTAATGATAATAATACAAGTGGAAATTGCCGTGGGCTTGTTTCACACAGTATTGTCGATGCGGTATACAAATCCTTGCATGATTAAAAAAATATTGAATATAATGTTCTCTTTACATGATATGGTGAGGGAAAAAACAAAGATTACAGCAGTCATAGAGATAAGTTGGTGTTTGCAGTTATGAAAGTAAAAACAAAGAAGCAACAGGACCATAAATATAATAGAAATAATAAAAGTAAAACTTTAAGGTATATAAAGGATGGATGGAGGAGATTGTTTATTTACTAGATGAAAAAAGGTTAGTCAATTCTTGCCTGACGCTATTTTCATCACATAAAATACGTGCCAAGTATGGTATCATAGAATTTTTATACTTAGACGTGCGAGCATACAGTTTTCTGAAGTTACTTCTTGTTCTAACTGAGGAGATGCAAGGTGAAAGCTGAGGGTGAAGTGGATGCTCCAAGTCAGACAAAATCCCTTTAGCAAATTTACTGCACGAAGTCAAGTGCCTATCGACAACGACGTTAACTATGTGGTCCACTGGGACACCACTCACCCCACTGACCGTCTTCAGAATTCCACGAATTGTAACATAGTCCTTTTTAAGCAAACCAGGAAAGAATAAGCAGGGGTGAACAATAAAGAAGAATAGGTAGGATGCAAGAGTTTATGAACTGTAAGAGGAGGGGTTGAGTTATACCCGAGTGCCTTAACTTCTTAATGTAAAATGTCAGGCGGAATATTTTACTGGAGATCGCTGAGACATGGGAAGACCAGGAGAGATCAGAAGAGAGAATAAGTCCAAGATACTTAATTTCTGATTTAATTCCTATATCATTGTCATCAATGTTACAATGATGGGGTATATACAGCACCGTCGCAAGCCAATGTCATCTCGGTGAGTAGTTGCCCTCTCACTCGACTTGGTCATGATTGGTTTATATAAATGAATCTATGACTTTTTTGAAAAGGGGAAAGTTTCATTTCACTTCGTCTTCTCAACCATCTTTCCTTCTTTTCTCTTAATTTGTTCTTGACTTTTTCCTACCTTTAGGGAACGGGAACGTTTTGTCACTTCAATCAACAACAGCAACAACTCATCAAGCAAACAGATGAATTCAGATTCGAGCAAAGAGGAGACACCATGGACTACAGTTGATTCAGCCGGTGAAAGTGATACTGAGGATAAAATAGATTTTAGTCATAAACAGAAAAAGACATCAATGAGTAAACTGCTTGAAATACTACCGCCTACATCATCCTACAGTCAAGATGATTCATGCGCTTATTATTTAAATCCTGATGATTTAAACTGTTTACTTGGACAGTTAAGACTTGAACGACTTTTACAACTTTTAGCTTATGATTATTACACTGCAGGAGACAGTGGCTCACCGTCCAGTGGTGAGTATCACCACCACCACCAGCAGCAGGAGCAGCAGCAATCAAATGATGAATGAGTCTGGTCTGATGACATCGATTGCATTCGCTGATCGTGTACTATGTTTAATTGAAGCTTGTGAAAAAATCTATGCAGATTATATTCCAGCACCGACTGCACAAACACATTTAGGTGCATGGCGTGCTCTAGCTAAACGATTGGCACGTTTAATCAGGTCAGTTGTTGTTGTTCTTGCTGTTGTTGTCTGTGATGCATGTTTTCCCCTTTTTCTTTTTGTTGATGGCTAATTTCAAAAGGCTGATTACTGAACAACAAAAAAAATGTATTCTTTTCGATAACTTCTTCATCAGGTTTTTTACAGTTATATATATATATAACCATAAAGAGGGGTGGTGCGTTGGTGGTGGCACAGCGGTTAGGACGCTCGTCGATCATGCACATGGTTCGGGGTTTCGATTCCCGGCCTCCAAAGCCTCAGGATGGTCGGGGGTGGGTGCCTTGCGCTGCGGGTTGGCCACCCCTCCGCACACCTCTTGAAATGCTCCCATATGACCGGGTGTCTTACATAGCCTCTCCTGAGGAAGTCCTACTCACTGCCTTCACGTGGCGGAGGTGTTTTTCACCAAAGTGAGAGGGCGAAAGCGGATGCCCGGCGCTCTTCACCGGGTTGACTGTCCATTGGATGACAGTCTAGGGGAGATGGCTAAACCCTGATTCCAAACCTCCAACGACTGGCGTATGAAGCTCACTGGAGCTCACCGGCAGACGTATGGACAAAGGGCTTGTTGGATGTCCTGGATGTCTGGCCCCATTGAAAAAGGCGTATGAACCGAACTCCGGTCACCGGCTGCCAATGGATAGTGGACTCCCTACTCCACTCCTACTGCCTTGTAGGTCACACTTGGTTGTGTAAAGGCTAGAGCTGCACTCTCAAACAAAAGGCCGAGCGATTCTGGGGACATCACTCGTACCAAATTCCCATGAAACTTCATGAACTCTCTTACAAACGACGCACTTGATCAGATCGCCGCGCCTGGGCAGCGATGATTCGAGATGTTCATGAAGCCGGCTCATCCTCCCGTAGGAGATAGCCGAAGTAAAGTAAAAGTAATAAAAGTATTCCCGGCCATCGACACACTTCTTTACCTCGCTAAGCCAGAAATAAAGCTGGGCATGAGGCTGGCTAGCAACCCCATCCTGTAAAAATAATCATCACTGCTACAGAAACTTTATGCCTCCAGTTTGAAGCCCCCTTATGTTCCACTGGGAACGTGAAGGAATAAATAATAATAATAATAATAATAAAGCAATCCATAAAGAGAGAAATATGAGGAGAAATTTGCTTAAGAAAAGCAAATGGACAGGACAATATATACACATTTTCATAGCTTTGTTCCTCTCCGGTACAAAAGGAATTTAATAAAGAACCTCAGTCACAGGGTTAGAGCTATATAGTCAGAAGACGTAATTCAAGGTGAACTCAGGATTGTATATGACGCCTTAACTGAAAATTGTTATCCAGAAAAGTTCATCAAGGTACACATGACCAGGAAAGTAGAAAAGGACTATTCTCTATCTGTAAATAAGAAGCCTTTGTATTCATGACTATAATTCAAGGGTAATGTACCGAGTGAAGTAATTACTTTTACAAGTTAAGAAAATCTATTCAAAGAAGTTTTAATGCTGGTTAACTACAAGTCATATTTCCTACACCACGGCTGGTTGTGATTCCTCATTTGGAAGATGAAGTACCTAGACTAGCCATCCCTGATTATATCTACCAATTCAACTGCACTTGTAGTGGAGCGAGTTATATTGGCCGTTGCTCTAGGAACTTCTCAATCGATTCACATTCTCAACCTCATTGATTGACTTTCAGTTGTTGCCTAATACTCGTCACCCAGACACATATGATCAAAGACAGGTAGCCTTTTCATTTCTTCAACTTCCAGTGGCTATGTCTCACAGCGATAAAGGAAAACGGAGTCTTATATATTTCCTTTGATCGATAGCCACCTCCACACCAGAGATGACACACGAGCCTTCTGTATCCGCGTACTGAAATTTCGTCAACGAACAGCCCATCGACGCTGATGCAAATTCTCAAGCAAGTAAAGTGGTCTACACGCTCGACCACTTCACTTCTAATCTTTAAACTAGAAGTCATTATAGTCCAGTCTTGCAGCATTGTCTAACATATGTCCAGGAGCGAATCGCGTGCCAAACATTCTAAGATTTCTATCCAAGGTGTTCAGAAGACTGTACATTTTGTTAGCATCTTCACCCAGAAAGATAATATAATCCGTGTACCTGAAGTCCGTATGCGTCAGTGATTCAGTGGTAGGGATACTCACCAACCACAAACGTGTTCCGGAGTTCGATCCTCTGTTGATGCACTTCCAAATCTCACCTAGCCTGGTAAAGAGGGAAGGTTGGGCGTGATGCTAGCTACCTCAGCCCGTTAACAAAAAAAAGAATAACACCACTACTAGTGCAACTTCAAAGGTTCACAGGACTGTGTCCTGGTAACACAAGTCAACCCCTAAGTCGCTAAAGTATGTGTGGTTAGCCTCCAAAGCCTCAGGATGGTCGGGGGTGGGTGCCTTGCGCTGCGGGTTGGCCACCCCTCCGCACACCTCTTCAAATGCTCCCATATGACCGGGCGTCTTACATAGCCTCTCCTGAGGAAGTCCTACTCACTGCCTTCACGTGGCGGAGGTGTTTTTCACCAAAGTGAGAGGGCGAAAGCGGATGCCCGGCGCTCTTCACCGGGTTGACTGTCCATTGGATGACAGTCTCGGAGAGATGGCTAAACCCTGATTCCAAACCTCCAACGACTGGCGTATGAAGCTCACTGGAGCTCATCGGCAGACGTATGGACAAGGGGCTTGTTGGATGTCCTGGATGTCTGGCCCCATTGAAAAAGGCGTATGAACCGAACTCCGGTCACCGGTTGCCAATGGATAGTGGACTCCCTACTCCACTCCTACTGCCTTGTAGGTCACACTTGGTTGTGTAAAGGCTAGAGCTGCACTCTCAAACAAAAGGCCGAGTGGTTCTGGGGACATCACTCGTACCAAATTCCCATGAAACTCATGAACTCTCTTACAAACGATTCGAGATGTTCATGAAGCCGGCTCATCCTCCCGTAGGAGATAGCCGAAGTAAAGTAAAGTAAGAAAGTTGAACTTTGTAATTCATTTAGCGAATAAATTATTAAACTGGATTCTGTTCTTTATTTTATAGAGCAAAGCCATCTTTAAATTCAATTTTAGATTTCCCCGCCGATTGATTGGATTGAATGAAGTGCTCAGTTTCAGAGTTCACATGTCGCGGCGCTCCTTGTGCGCAGATGCTTCGACAATGTCTGATCATGTAACTTGAAGTCAATTGGTGGGGGCGGTGACTAGCAGTAGAATCTTGTAGCTCAAGTGGTCTAGTTTGAAACTATGGGCAGTGGGTTCAAGCCTTGGTGGGAACACCATCACTCACTCACTCATTGGTGGGGGGGTGGGTGGGATGTAGGCACATCCAGATGAAGAGTCCGAAATAGGACGAAATGCGCATCCTGGTCGACTCCACCAATTGTGACTTCAATGCCATCTTTGTTATAAAGGAAAATATTCCGTCTTACCTTCTACATCAAGAAGTTAAAACATTCTGGTATAACCCAACCCTTACTCCTACAATTCGTTAACTCTCGCATTCTGCCTATTATTCTCTATTGTTCCCCCTTAGTTTTTCCCAGGCTACTGAAGAAAGACTATAACATATTACGCAGGATGTTAAAGGTTGTCATCAGGGTAAGCAACGTGCCACTTAACCAGCTTGTTAATATTCTGGTCAACAGGCACTTGGACTCATGTGAAAAATGGGCTAAATCCACTTTATCTAACTCACACCACCCTCTTCACTCACAACTCGCCCCTCCCCTTGCATCTCATCAGGCAAAACCAGAAGCCTATGTATAAAAGTATATGCTCGCACCACTAGCAAGTACAAAAACTCAACCATACCCTACTTAGCTCGTGTTCTGTGCGATAAAGAAAGCCTTAGGCATGACACCTATAATTCATTAAATAGTCAGTAGAACAACTGGACCTCGTCTTTCCAACTCATATCATTTATAGGTACAACGTTTTCTTTCTTTCTTTTCTTTTTTCCGTTATGTGCTGCTTTGTTTCTTTCTCTCGCTTACGCCAGTAAATATGATAGCACCTACTTTTATGATACCTTCAAACACTGTTCAACTTTGGCTTTGCTACCGACATGTCAATATGTTGTTGTCATAATGAACTGAGATTTCCTTAATCTATGTTGAATTTTATTTATTCATACTGTACTAACTGGATGCAATACTGTAGTAAAAATGCTGAGAATTCCATTCTGTATCACAATTACTGTTTTGAAATAAAGCAAATTATTATTATTATATTTTCTACGAGTTGATCACGGACTGATATCAGTTAGAGAACCATTGAAAACCAAGGAGTACTGAAAACCAAGGAGTACTGGACAGCTGCTGTTTCATCCTAGTTTGGGAATCATCGGCAGTACGCACCCACTGGGATTCGAACCCAGGACCTTCCGGTTACAAGGCAAGCTCGTATACCATTCAGCCACTGGGACCCGATTCAATGGCTCATGAATTCTAACTTCTACCAATTCGTGATTTTTAGCGCGACCCCAACTATTGTCGTTGCTGGAAATCCATCCACACGTGACTTCTAATTGGACCTCACTGGTCACGACTTCTCACTAGAACTGCAGGAAGCTCCAACCTGTAGCAAGTCACTAGCGAGCATCAGAATAATTTTCTATAGTTTGGTTTGTAAGGATTAGTTATGTTTTACGAGTTGATCACGGACTGATATCAGTTAGAGAACCATTGAAAACCAAGGAGTACTGAAAACCAAGGAGTACTGGACAGCTGCTGTTTCATCCTAGTTTGGGAATCATCGGCAGTACGCACCCACTGGGATTCGAACCCAGGACCTTCCGGTTACAAGGCAAGCTCGTATACCATTCAGCCACTGGGACCCGATTCAATGGCTCATGAATTCTAACTTCTACCAATTCGTGTGGATGGATTTCCAGCAACGACAATAGTTGGGGTCGCGCTAAAAATCACGAATTGGTAGAAGTTAGAATTCATGAGCCATTGAATCGGGTCCCAGTGGCTGAATGGTATACGAGCTTGCCTTGTAACCGGAAGGTCCTGGGTTCGAATCCCAGTGGGTGCGTACTGCCGATGATTCCCAAACTAGGCCGATGAAACAGCTGTCCAGTACTCCCTGTGGTTGGTTTTCAATGCTTCTCTAACTGTTTTCAATCCGTGATCAACTCGTAAAAAATTATTATATTTATCGTTGAACCACTCAATGCAGCCTTATCGATTTAATGTATATTGATTTATTTTACTTTCTGCAGGTTATTACTCACTGCTGTTGGATTTCGTATACAACGTAGATTATAACAACAGCAACACCAACAGCAACCGAATGAAAATCAATTCATATTTATGCCTACTAATTCACAAGAGTTTATGCGCATCCTATCCCAATATGATGCATTATGCCTTCGTGCCGCTCATTGTCTATTATTGTCAGGCAGTGGTCTACCAGAAGCTTATCGTAAAGCTGGACAACTTACATGTTGGCGTAATTTGGCCGGTACACTTCCATTAGGCTTAACAATGATTAAATCGAAAAAGGAATTATTTTATATAATTATACAATCAATTATACAAAATAATAATAGTAATAATAATAAAAGTAATGAAGATTATAATAATAATAATATTTGTAATTTAATTAAAGAACAATTAATGAATAATAATATGGAGAATAATTTGCCTAATATAATATTAGATAAATTACATCATATTCTGTTAACAAGTGGGCTAAATGAACTCGGACTGTCTGTAGTGATAAGTGTATTGGGCAAATTGGCATCGTATGAATGTAGACCAAGAATTGTCTATTACAGCAATAATAATAATAATAATACTTTGTATAGATATGAATTACCCGATGAAGAAGCTGTTCTAATCCAGTGTATCCTACGTATTATATTTGGAGTAAGTCAGTGGGAATAATTTCTCTTGTTTTGAGTTCTTTCTTTATTTATTGATTGATTAGAATTGTTAGATTTCGTCACGAATCAACATCAGGGAGCATTCGGTTGCCCATTCTCTCCATTTCTCTTTAACTTTGCCATCGATGACATTCTGGAGTCAGCTCTGAAGGATGTGCGTGAAGGTGGTGTAGATCTGCTACCTGGAGATAGACTTTTCGACCTCGAGTATGCAGACGATATCGTCTTACTGTGCAATAGCGTGTAAGCTGCCCAAATCGCACTTAATCAGTTGGCGATCAGTGTCTGTAAGTATGGTATGCGCTTTGCACCGTCTAAGTGCAAAGTACTGTTACAAGATTGGCAGGAGCCTGTACCTGCACTCACTCTTGCGGGTGAACCGCTTCAAGTTGTTGATAAGTTTGTGTATCTTGGGAGTTGTGTGAGTGCTGGCGGAGGGGTGACCGATGAGATTTCCAACCGTATAATGAAGGCTAGGGCGGCATACATCAACTTGAGCCACCTATGGCGCCGTCGCGACGTTAGCCTGGCTATCAAACGTCGGGTATACAATGCTTCGGTGTGGGCTGTCTTGCTCTACGCCTGTGAAACCTGGCTTCTCCGAGCTGAGGATGTGAGGCGACTCTGCATGTTCGATCATCGCTGTCTCCGCAGGATTACTTGCGTTCGATGGCATCATCGCGTGAGTAATTCTGAGGTTCGGCGGCGTGTGTTTGAACACAGTGGAGATCACCATTCGTTTAATGTCGTCATCTGGGAACACCGGCTTGGGTGGCTTGGACATGTGCTGCGAATGTCATCCTAGAGGCTTCCGTACAGGTCTCTGTTCGCTAGCCCTGGGACGGGATGGAAAAGGTGGAGAGGTGGTCAGTCCATGACGTTGCATCGTGAGATGAAGGATACTTGTGCTAGATTAGCATCGGTTGGTGTGTCACGACTCCCTGGTTGGGGTCCGCGAGATAGCTCGAATCGATGGCTCGAAACGTTATGGGATATGGCCAAGAATCGTAATCAATGGCGAACGTGTTGCAATTTCCTTCTTTCTTCCCTTCCTGATGATAGTTGACGAATGCTGTTTGAACTTATTAAACATGACTGTTTTCCTTCCAGATGAAGTTCTTTATCTGCTTTCTACTTAGTTTTTTACTTTTAATCTATGTTGTTTTATTATTATTGTGTGGTGCATCTTTCTTGGTGCCGTACTGTACCAAATTTTTTCTGCGTTTAAATAAAAAATAATAAAATAGCATTCGGTAGATATTTCGTCCTAATTTGGGTCTCTTCATCAGTTCGTACCCGTGTGACCCTATGAGGGATTGAACTTTGAGACCTTCCATTTATGAAAGAGATGAAACCTACTGACCATTCAGTCATCTGGACCGGCAGTATCCAATGGCCCGTGAATTCTAGCCTTTGTCAATTCGTGATGATATAGTGGTACCCTCCTCCATCACCAACGACTTCGATGAGCATCTGCTTCACTTTGATGACATTGTGGATCCCACTGGTCATGACTGACTTCCCAGTACAGTTTTAGGACGTCTATCCAGTAGTAGTAGCCATCGATGTGGAGGTAGAGATTGATATTTCGATTATGAGATTCGTGGAGATTCGGATTATGCCTCTTAGGTGCCCTGGGTTCGACTCCTGGTAGGGTAGTGGTTGCTGCGTGCTGATGGAGAGTTCCAGAATAGGACGAAGCAACTGTCTAGTGCTTCCTAGTTTGTCAACGATCTCCTTAACTGATGCTGATTCGTGATGGCCACTAACAATCGGAATTGAATTAGTCTAAATTCCCTTTGAAATTCCATAATGTAAACGATGAAGTGTTTCTCTGACGTCATGAGTGACGTCAATTGACGAGACACAACCCAGTCTGAGTGCGACAGGAGGTAGAGTTCAGATTTCGCCTGGAAATAAAGATGAACTTGAGACTAAATACAAGATAGAACAACAGAGCGAATTTGTACTTATTATGATGGAGAGTCAAGGAGGGTGGGGGGGGGATGAATCGTAAAGTAGAATTATAAGATAGACAAAACAATTTAGTAGATTTGCAAACTTAATGCTTAGTTCAACTGAGAAGGTGAAAATCAAAATTGAGTGGAATGTTATTTATGCAACGGAACAAAAAAATTACAGTTACCATGGTCTGTCTGTCTGGTTTCAACATAGAACTTTGCACTAGTGTGCAGCAGTTCGAGTCGCCACACTTCACTTAGCACACAAAGCCAGAGAAGAGGAAGAAAGTAAACAGAAACGCAAAATAGAGACAGTAAACAGAGACACGAGGCAAAAGGAATAGTAATAACGAAGAACAATATAGTTTTATTGGGTATTATAAGTCAAAAGGAGTAGAGGCATTTCCGCCAGACATTGAGAACGATTACTGAGCCATATCACCGATTGTCTCCAGCCTTCATTGGTTCTTACCATCCCGAGGACACCAACCAGTGAGGAAGTCTACACCTCCCTCCCTACCTATCTGGCTTAAACGAACTGTTGTGGATTTCATTGACTGATGAAGCCATGTTTTGGTTTGACCACCACTGGCTCTTTTCCAACCTGACCCTATGTCAGCTAACATTGCCCGTCGAGGTAATGAGAGATTAGTCACACTATACAGAAGTTGGGTCGAAGTCTCTGAAATCAATGGCTTCTGTGAATCTAAGTAACCATGGTTTTCTTTGTGTATTGATTATTTCGGAAGCCTCACTAATTTCTAATATATATCCCGTGTCAAATAGGTGTCTTTAAGAAATTATATCCGGTGAGGGAATTGAATCAAAGATGTGAATACATGAAATAATACTAGTATAGTGTGAAATGCAATTAAAGTATTTGTAGCTACTAAGCCTGACCTTTGTGTACAATAGAAGTATGTACAATCCCTACTTCTGCCTTGGCCGTAGAGGGATAGACATTTATTTATGTATTTTGTTTATTTAGTTAGTCGGTGTACCTTTCCCTCGTTACTACGATTATTATTATTATTATTATACCGAACAGGGCAGAAACTGTGATACAAAAGAGCCTTAGTAAGGTGCCTCTTCAGTGTTATTATTATTATTATTCTATTCTCACTCTGAATTGTTTCCACTTGTCTCACTTGTCATTCTAAATCCAGAATTATATATTTTTTTTACAATATTGAATTCTATCTTATCAAATGTCACACCATGTTATGTAACACTTTATATTAGCCTACTAATCCTATAGTTATGCACCCCTTTCCAACATCTATACGGTGTCCATCAATTGCACTTGAGAACTAGATTAGAAATAGGAAGTGAAGTGGAAGAGCACGTTGACCGCTTCACTTACTTGGGAAGTACCATCAGCCAACGCCAACGGGTTGATCTCTGACGAAATCTCAGCACGAATACAGAGGGCTAGTTTCGCATATGCCAGTTTACGCCGTCTCTGGCGTAGACGTGATATCCGACTATCGACCAAAGGGCGTGTGTACTGCTCAACAGTCCGCTCCGTCCGCCTTTATGGCTGTGAGATCTGGTCATTAAGAGTGGAAGACATGAAAAGACTAGCTGTCTTTTATCGTAGGTGTAAGCGTTCTATCTCCCGCGTGAAGTGGTATGATAAGGTGAGCAATATTGAGGTTAGGCGTCGAGTTCTAGGTAAGGAGGGGTAAATCAATCGACGAGACTGTGAAATTACATCGACTGAGATGGTCAGGACATGTGTTACGTACACATACCTAGCCATCGCCTTCCTCGACAATGGGCAATGTTAGCTGATATGGGGTCAGGCTGGAAAAGAGCTAGCGGCGGTCAAACCAAAACATGGCACCAGTCAATGAAATCTACAACAGTTAGTCTAAGCCGGTCACGTAGGAAGGTGTAGACTTCCTGGCTGGTTGGGGTCCTCGGGACGGTAAAAACCATTGCTCGGAAACAATTAGTGACATGGCTCAAACTCATCGTTCTCAGTGACTGGCGCAGATGCATCCACTCCTTGTGACTTATGATTTCCAATGAAACTGTTTTGTTCTTCGTTATTACTATTCCTTTGTCTAACACCTCTATTTACTGTCTATATTATGCAATTTTTCCTCTTGCTTTGTGTGCTACAAAGAGGGAGTGTGGCGACTTGAACTGCCGCACATATGTGCAAAGTTCTATGTCGGAAACAGACAGACAGACAGGCACTTGAGAACACTCTGCTGCCTTTCAAACAGAGACTTTTAGGAATATCCTCGGAAAATCTAGTAGACGCTTTCCTCTCCTCTCCTCTCTCTCTCTCATCTCTTATTATCCATGTAGATGTGTTCATTCTTTCTTTATTCACCAATAATTATCGAATATACATGTGTCTGCTTGTATTGTGATCCGCGCTTTCATGTGACCTTTTTTTGAATTCGTTTAATTAAGCGAATAATTTGATAATTCCCGCTGTAGCACTAAGAACACAATATTTTTTAGCGAAGAAACTCGTTTCAACGAATTTATTACCAAGCTGTACAATCGTATAAGATAAGCAGTCCAAACTAGTCACCGACTCAGTCGCAAAGAAAACCTTATTCATGAACCTGGAATTCAAAGGTGATCAAGCTTTAGATATGCTCAAAAACCGTCTCTCTAAATCAGTCAGTAGGAAGTTCTTTGCAGCACATTTACAGATGACGTTCACCAGCCGCAATTTATTCTCCATCTCTGTAAAAGATAAGCTCCCCCGTCTGGCCACCTCTATGTGCATCTATCAGTTCACCTCACCGTATTGTGGAGCAAGGTACATTGGTCGTAGCCAGAGGACGCTTTCCACATGGATACGAGAACATATTCCAGCTGCATGGTTTTACAAGGAGGGAGAAAGGAAGTGTGTGTGTGTGAAGCTCTATCCTAGAACACTTGATCGACTGCTATCACTCTGCCAACCCTGACTAGTAGACTCTTCCCTGTCCTGTCACATCTCTCATTATCCTGTAGATGTGTTCATTCTTTCCTTATTCACCAATAATGTGTCTGC